TTTCTCACTGATCTAGACTTCATGTGTTGGTTATGTTTATTGTGAGCATATTTTGCATTTGGTTGGTTGGTTTGTGTGCAACGTGGCTCCTGTCAGGTGAAATAAAAATAAATCCTGTCTTTTAACACACTGCTGTTAGTGCTTTTCTTCAGGCATGAATGTAATCAAACTCACAACTCTCATAGTGGTAACTTTAAATACATTTATCTCATTGTGTTATGTAGCATTTAGCATTTTTAGCATTTTTAAATTATAGTATTTGCCTTTTTAAAATGGGTAAAGTCATAACCAGAACATTTTAATCAAAAAAGTATTAACATAATTTAATCTTTGAAAAATAATACACAATGAATACCATCAATATATGGCAGACACAATGACTAATCTAATGAAACTAATATTTTCTTCAGGTTTTCTTGCTTTCTTTTATTGTTGTTGTTTGTGCTTCTTGTATTTTACTGGTGTCTGTCATATTACATGCTACTTTAGCATATTCTGCAATTACCACTGCACATTTTATCTGAAGAGTTTCTGTTTGTGCTGCTTCATTGTCTCATACGAAGCAGTCATAAAGAAAGAGACGCTGCCTGTCAGGGTCCATTATATCAGCAGACACCATCCCTTAGGAAGTCGGAGGGTCAGTGTTTTGACTCATAGTTCACCAACGAGTCAGTGTCTCTTATTCAGTGTAAAGGAACTCAAACATCAGCAGCAGCTCTGGTGTTCATCAGAGCCTGGTTAGATGCTGCTCAGCTCCTTCAGCGTGGTGTGGTTAATTCGCTCGGCATCGCCTGGCTCTGACCGACACGTTCTGTGAGGGCTGGACACAGTCAACACACACACTCAGAATCAGATCATCTGTGAACTTGGCCCACTCTGAGCTCAGCGTGCCAGGACATAAATTGCGTGCGGTCTCGCTGAACTCCAGCCTGCCTCATGTCGGCTCGGCTGTGTGCACGAGAGGAGAACAGATAGGTGTAAAATTTGTGTTGAGAGTGTTGGCGAGGACGACAAGCACCTTTGTCGTAGTGATACATGCTCTGTCAGACTCCTGTGTGTTTACCTTTTCTGCTGCAAACATGCATCAGACATGTTTAGCAGCTCCGAACGTTCGAGGCTGTAGACGGATTCATCTGCTGCACTTTGAGAGGAGGAGGAGGAGGGGAAGAGCGGAGAAGTTTTATTTCTCACATGTCGGTGTTTGAGCCTGTTTGTGAAAACTTTAAAGTTTCTTTGGAAAGATTTGATTTATTTGTTTTGCCGATTGGTACCACTTTACAATTAATACATATTTATAAAGGGTTTGTAAATGCTTTATAAGTAGATTACTCATGGTTGTGTAAACACTGTTAAAAGACTTTATTGCCAAGTCAAGTCAACTTTATTTATAAAGCACATTTAAATCAGCAGCTGTTCCCAAAGTGCTTAACAATTACATCAATGAGAGTAAAATTAATGGAAAAAAATAACACTAATGATAGTACTGAAGACTTAATTGAAATCAGAAAATAAAAAAATATAAAAACAGAACAAAAAATACTAATCAACTCACACTGTGTGAAATGCCATGTTGTTCATCTTTATAAGCTGAAATGCTTAGAACTTAACAAAATGTCAGATATGTAAAATCCTAATCATAACAAATGCATGTAAACAGAATAAAAAGTAGAGGTAAATTCTGGCTTCCTATTTGGCAATAAGTGCTTTTTATCTAATGTGCTCAAAGAAATAAAGGACTTCTCTGTAGTTAAAGATGTTTTTCATCCCATTCAGAGAGCTCTCACTGTGGAAATACAAATAGTGTGGAGTGTTTTTTGAATCAGAAAAGCTCTGAATGAGAAGCAGACTGTGTTCAACTCAGAATGGAAGTCCAGTTCTTGTTTATTGTTTATTTTATTAATTTTACCTCATAAATAAACAGCTTGTGTGAAATAAGTTGCCACTTTGTTTCTGAAAATGTCTTTTTTTTTTTTTGTTTTGTTTAGACTAAAACCAGAGTTGTTAAATTATTTACTTTTGAAAGCATTTTTTCATAACTCCATTTCTCACCAGAATCTCGTTGTTGTGTGGAAGGACGGTGCAGCAGCATCAGAAAAATGTTTTGTTTGATGCATATTTCAAATAGTGAAGGCTTGTGTTGGCAGGACTTTAAATGATCTCACTATTATCTGACTTGTTTTAAAAAGTGAAATGATTCTGCTTTAGCCATTTGATTGTAATTTGGTCTAATAAGGCTACAAAGTACAGTCCAACGTGAAGAATGAGTAAAATAATTTCACTGTCAGCTTTTTAGAAAGAATGCCTCACTGGGCCAGATGATTTGGTGATGTACATATATATATATATATATATATATATATATATATATATGTGTGTGTGTGTATATATATATATATATATATATATGTGTGTGTGTGTATATATGT